TGAGTGCACTGCTTATGATGCATGTTGTACAAGAGAGGGGGGCCGAGGAGGAGACCCTGAGAAACCCCATTATTTAATGAAATGGAGAATCAAGAACTGGCAGAGAACAGGCAATAGTCAAAAAGAAGAAGAAACATCAGGAAGTGATATGTCACAGAGACCAACCTGAGAGAGAGTTTCCAGAAAGCCCACTGCAAATGCAGCAGAATGAAAGTATGTTAAGAAATTGTAAGCATCCCTTGGTTGTGGGATGAGAAGATCATCAATGGCCTTGTTTTGGGAGCTCCAGTAGGGGGCTGGGAGTGGGGGGCTCATGCTCAGGGCATGCCTCAAGTTTAAAGTAAGGCAATATATCCAGATGGGTTTATATACAGGCACTATATCATCAGAATTATGTTAAAAGCTTTAATTTAGTAAGTGTCACCATTTAAATTATGCTACAACTTTTGTCACTCTTTTTGGCAATTCTTTTTTATTGTTACTATAAACAAAGCAACAACAAACAAAGAAAACAGAAAGAAAGAACAAAGTAGCCCAGGCCACTGACAGCCTCCGTGAGGCCAGACGTTTCAGTGGGGTGGTGGGTATGAAATGAGTTTGATTTCTTAAAATAACTGTGCTTATTCTATGAATCTTCTATTTAAAAAGGCAGCACCCGAGAAAACATAAATGTATATTATTAAGAGAAAGAAGTCAAACTGAAAAGGCTACATAATGTATGATTCCAACTCTGTGACATTCTGGAAAAGGTGAGAAAATGGAGACCAGGCTACTGACAGCCACAGTAAAAAGATCTGTGGCTGCCCGGGGCTGGGAAGAGAGGGAGGAACAGGCGGAGCACAGAGGGTCTGAGGGCAGTGAAACTGCTCTGAATGACACCACAGGGATGGAGACATGTCATTCTCCATCTGTTCCAACCCAGAGAGTGCACCACACCACGGGGACCCCTCAGGTAAGCTGTGGACTTCCGCAGATGATGATGTGTTAGTGCAGGGTCACCAGCTGTCACAGATGTGCACTCTGGTGCCACTCTTGCCTGTGGTCAGTAACCAGCTGCAAAGAGCCAGCTGTGAGCCGCCATGCACCCTGCCCCAGAGAAACAGACAAAACCTACAAAGGTTCCTCCTACAACATGCCAGGTCCCTACCTCATCACACTCCTGTGACGTCTACCAGGCGATATTCCTGCCCAGGTGCACAGAGCTTCTAATCCCCTCTTCAAACCCATTCCTAAAAATGAACCATGAGCCAGCAATCACTAGATATTTGAGGAAAACCTCCAATAACAAAAGAGAGCAAAACAAACAAGAAGGAACCCAGAATAAACAAACACGTGATGGAGAGAAAAAAAGCAATACAATGACCTTGTACACATATATGTATAATCCATGGACACAGACAACAGGGTGGTGAAGCCCTGGGGGTGGGGGGCGGAGCGGCTGGGAGAGGTCAATGGGGGGGAAGGGGAATATTTGTAATACTTTCAACAATAAAGATTTTTTTTTTAAAAAGAAAAAACAATACAGAAAAGAATGGAGATAGATTCTACACTCATGAAATAAATGCTGGATACTGGATGTTAAAAATTAAAACAATTCCTAGGATAAGCACAACTTTTTAGAAATTAAAAAGAACTAGCAGAAGTTAAAAGTTCAGTAGGAAATCTAAAAGATATACGTTGAGGACACTACAGAAAGTAGAAGAAAAAGACAAACAAAAAATAAGAGTGACTGAAAGAAGATAAGAAGGAAAAATCAGAACACTTATCCATGAAATAATATAAGAAAACTTCTGAGAAATCCTGATTTGAAGCGGCCCACCTAGTACCCAGCACAGAGAGTGAAAAAAGAACCACACCAAAGCATAGGGTGGTAAAATCTCAAAGCAATCGCCACCGAGAGGAAAATGGTAAAGCTTCTAAAAGAGGGAAAAGGTCATATAAAAGAGTTAACAAGCAGGTGGCACTAGACAGCAACCCTGGAGGGCAGAAGAGCTCTTGGTTTGGTAATGCAGCAGTGACATCAGATATCTGAGGGTGAACCGTTCCAGCAGGGGCTGCTTTGCTCCATACAGTGAGACACGTGCAAACACACAGGTCTCCCAACATTTACCCTCACGTGCCCTTCTTCTCGGGAGGTTACTAGAGGATGAACTGCAGCAGGGAATAAACCTAGAACACTCCTTGAAATGAGGGATGTCACAGCATCTAGAAAACACAGGATTGGACACGGGAGACAAGCACAGGGACTTCCTGGGCCCGGGTTCCAGGGAGCTGCAGGGCATGGCCGTGCAGCAGGCCTGGAGAGCGAGGGGACCAGCGGGGCAGGAATAGATGGAAGAGAGGCCTGGAGGGTGGGGGAGGAAGGACGGATGAGAGGGAGGGAAGGATAACCTGATCTGTGTCAGTATCCAGGGAGATCTGCCATCTGTCAGAGACTTTGGAAATGAAATCATGAAAGATCAATTTAAAAAGTAAAAAAACAAAAATACATTAACTCTAGGGGGGGGGGCTTATTATTCAGTAAAGAAAATAGACTATAATCTCAGCCAGAAATAATAGCTACACAATCATAATAAGAAGAACACTGAGTATTAACTTAAGTAGGAATTATAATTTAAGTATAGGGACAATGGGGAGCAAACCGCGATGTGGGAGGGGAATAAGAGAACTGGCCTCATCTTCAGAAAAGGGAGCCCACAGCTCTCCTGGTATTAAGAAGAATGGCAGTGACAGCAGGAGAAACAGCTAAGGCTGAAAGTGATTGTCACCAGGACAAAGAGTATTAGGTGGGAGGAGCAGGTTATACCCCGAGGCAGAGAGAAATACAGTAGAGTCAACTATTTCAATTATATTTAGACTCTTTTGATAAAACTTGCATTCAATAAATGAATGGCAGGAGGTTTGGGCTTGCAGCCTATCCCTTTAAGAAGCTCAAATATCCTAGAAAAATAAATAAACAAACTGGTCCAGACATGGAACTTTTTGTTACTTTAAGTTTGGGGAAACACTGAAGAAGTTATCATAGAGGCAGAAAGGAGATGGGGCATCTGAAGGAGCGAGTTTCCCCTGAGGAGACAGGAGGAAGGGGACTGGGGCCTGTGTATCCAAAACAGGCCTAGACAGACCAACAGACGGCTCTTCCTCAGTGATCAGGGGTGGAGGATGGAGAAGAATCAACCGGCAAAGAAAGCTGCTTGAGGAAGACACATACCTGAGGTGAGAGGGCCAACACAGTGCTGGCCAATCTCTTTTTTGAGGCGGCCAAGGGAAGTGTTTGAGAAGTTACCAGAAGAAAATGTTAACCTCAATTTGATCAAGTAAATTTGATCTTAGAGCAGGACGGACGCACGCTGTGTCTTAACTGACAGCATTTGTACTCAGTCATTCCTCTGTGCTCCCATAAAGCTTTCTAACACCATTGTCCTGTTAACACTAGTACTTTAAAGGATTGTATTCCTACTAAACTATGAATCCTCAAGAACCATCTTGTCCATCTATATACAACCAACACTGACTCACAGGTGCCTGACAGGAAATGCATTTCTGTTGTACAGATATAGAAATATTGTCTTTCCAGCAGTACAAAAGCATGTCAATACACCAACACACATGTATTACCTTAAAATGTTTTTATAGGTCAGAAGTCCGTATTCAGTAATTTTACTATACATTTTTAAAAGAATATATACTCTACCCGGCCAGAGTGACTAAGTAGTTGAGCATCAACCTATACAGCAGGAGATCACGGTTTGAGATTCCTGGCCAGGCACATGCCTGGGCTGCAGGCTGATCTCCAGTGTGGGGCGTGCAGGAGGCAGCCAATCAGTGATTCTCTCTCATCACTGATGTGTCTGTCTCTCTCTCCCTCTCCCTTACTCTCTAAAATCAATAAAAATATATTTTAAAATAATAATACATAATGTCCCTTCATAGGTAACTCCCCCCTACACATTACTCTGATTTAAATTCAAATTTGCATCTGAAGCTGTTTCTCTAAGTACGCATGCAACCTAGACTCTGTTTTGGGCGATGCCCATACTTTGACCTCAGAAAGGCAGAGAAGACTACATGAACCTCTGACTACCTCATGGCTTCTAAATTAAAGCTCAGGAACATTCACAATGAGTGAAAAAGCCATACTTGCTCTTCAATACCTGCCCAGCCTAATAAGTAATCTCAAGATTTTATGTTTTAAAATATCAAACTTATTGATCCAGAATTTGAGCACAGTTGGTCTCTAGTAAGCACTTCCTATCATTTCTAATTTTACACTCTTTCTAAGAGAGAAATAAGTAACTATTCACTATGAATAGCATAATATTAATGCTAATTTTTAGAACTGTTTTCCTCTTCCCTGCATTTAGGCTAAAAACCAATTCCCTTGGTAACTGCCCAACACCCTTTTTACAAAACATTTCAGATCCATCTCAAATAGGTTCAGATGGGGAGAAGGGGAGTTTAAAAATAAAATAAATACATAAAAGCAAAAGCTGTGTTTACTAGTTAAATCTTTTGCTGAGTTTAGAGGATATTTTTGATTGCTATTCATTAAAAATGTTCTTGTCATTAACATAGTAGAAAAAATAAATTTGGAAAGTCTATATTAAATGCCAGATAATGTCAATAAATCCTAATCTTTAGTTTTACAATTCAGTAAAACAAAGAATTATAATTATCCAAATGATTTAAGCTAACCAACAATTTAGGACAAAATGCAGATTGATACACCTGTGTACACCTGTCCACAAATTCCACAAGGTGTAAGTTGACCAACTAAGATTGTTCGAGTAACATCATACAATGTAGAAAAACCAAACTGGCATCTTCATAACTTCATCCTTTCAAAAATAATTCCCCAAAATGCACCTTGTAACATATAAGGGTACCTGACAATAGAGCTATGTTAGTTCTACCTTTAAGGTCATGCAAGCTAAAGGAGAGTTCAACAGCCCCAAGAGGACTTGAGTTTACAAGAGTATGCAGAGCATCTTCTAAAATACCTGATTTTGACTTCAGGATAACCTGAATGGTATGTCCATCATTGGTGACCTCACAGTCTCGGCAGACTACATAATTTGGCGAGAGGCGGACATCCAGCAGTGAGGGGTCATATCTGGCTTCCCTTGAATTCAGGTTAATGGGAGACTGGTACTCCCCATTCGCATCAGGAAACACCAACCCCCATTCAACACCTAAGGACAAAATGAAGCACATTTATAACAGGTTACAAAAAAAGTTACAGTAAAAGTTAACATGTTAAAGCTAGTTGAAACTGTTTATAATCCTTGACATCATTAAGAGGGTTATGACTACCATCTCTATACAGATGAACTATGGTAAATGTGTGTGAATTTTTGCATTTATACTTTGTATGATTTAATAGTCTCCAATACTACATACAAAATCCTGAACTAACAAAATATTCTGTTTGTAGTTGTCCACAAAGGGGTAGTAATTTATGATTAAGAAATTTAGATCATCTTTAAGGGATCAGAAAAAAAGTAATACCACAAAGTTTTTTTCTGCTCATCCGTTCAGTTATGTGTGTTACTTGGGAAAAACCTGTAACTCTCCACATGCTTAGTGAGAACCCAAAACAATAAATCTGATGCTAGTGAATAAACACCTCTTATCAAAAATGCAAATACCGTATGTTGAAGTGTACATGTGAACATGTACACACACCTATGTATTCACTCATATATACCCTTTCCATATTTTTATAATTAAAATTATAAACTACACTTTTTTTTTCAATAGATGTAGTCAACATCAGCACCAGGGGTCGGCTCCATGAAGAGACCTACATCTTCAGGGATAAATTTAGGAATCTAAACTTTAAAAAAAAAAAAGTCCACCCCCTCTCACCAAGCCACTGACAGCCTGAAATTGAGGACGTGTCTGGCATGAGCGGAGCCTTGCTAGCATCCTTCGGGGAAAGAGTAGAGGCAGACATACATGCTTCCACCAGCGAACTCCTAGCAAGAAGACACGAAGAGTTCCACCAACACGGTGTTCCCAAGGGGTGGAGCAAAAGGTAGCGCCGTTCCTCTCACTACTCAGAAAACAAGGAATGTCCCAGCCGCAGCTGTAATGCTCGCCCTCCGGGTGGAGGCAGTGCCAACACCTGCCGGGCAGTAAGGCCAGGCTTCCCAACGCGGACACAGGTGGCAGGCCCGCCCTCCACCCGGTGCCCCTGTGCCCCGAAACCGGCCGGGGGACCGGGAAAGCGACAAGGGACCCACGTGGGAAAGCGGGGACCCGGGGGTGCTGGGAGCGCGAGAGAGCCGCGGGGTGCGGAGCCGCGCGCTGGGCGGGACACACGCGGCGCGCAGCCCCCGACGCGCTGTCCAGGGACCCGGGACCCGTCGACCTGCGGCGGGCGGGTTACCTTCTTCGTAGCCCCACTCCACGCCCTCCTCCTCCTCCTCTTCATCCTCCTCCTTCTCCGGGAAGGCGACGGCATCTTCGATGAAGCTCAGGTCAGCCATGGGGAGCCCGTGGGTCCTCCGCGCTCTCGCTGGC